CGCATTTTCCTCACTATAATCAATCTGACGCGCTTGAAGCTATCACGGTGCGCTAAAAGCCGTGGCTTGGAAGGTTGCCAACTGACGGGGTACCTTGGACCTCCTCCTTAACGGGAGGCGGTCTGAGAGTCAGGCTGCAATGGCTCCTTTTTAATGTGGCCTCTATGGCACTCTCACCACAGTGTGGGATCCGAGCCAGGCGTTGGCGGCACGCCCAGGTGCGGCTTCGGCCATGCCAGCCTCCAAATCTCTGTTGTTGGTTGAAATCCTGGTTATTGTTGTGTGGACCAGGGGGTGTGGTGGAACGCCAAGGTGAGGATCCGTCCGAGCCATCCACCTGCGGCCTCCCTCGTCTCCGGTCTTCTTGACTCTGTCTTGACACCGGGCCCAGGCGGGGGAGGAGGAGAGAGTGTAGGTAGATGCAGCGCAAGTCTACCGGCACTATAAACCCCTGCGCAAGTCACCGTCCCTGCTCCCACCGCTGCTACAGCTGTGGGGCACACGGTGGACATCGTCGAAATCGACGGTCGAACTGTCAATCCCCAATATGCTCATATACGGTTCGATAATGGCAGAGGAGAAACGGTATCTGTTCGACTGCTTGTCCACAGCGGTGAAGATGTTGGTGATTGCCATCAGGAGACGGCCACGCTGATACCAGAAAATTCCATCCCATTTTCCCCTGACCACCCACTCATTACCGAGCAGGAAAGTAGCACCGTTCCAACCGACGAACAGAACGATGCAACACCTGTTAGTGTACCTAACGCTGACGATGTCCGTATACATAACCTAGAAACATTAATCCAACAACAACGTGTTCATCCATACTGCTTTCGTAACAGAGACGCCTGAACTTTGCCCCATACAAACTTTTCCTTCCGATGTTTGACATCTCGATTCCTCCATTTGTTGGCCGGGGTGAATGTCATGCTAACATAAGTCCCTGGCTGAATTCCATCTTATCTACTACTTTTCTGGTTCTAGTCCCAGTACGTCAATTGTAAAATGAATAAAGCCCTGTTATAGGGTGTTCTCGTTCTGAATCTTGAATCCGTATTTGTTCGTCCTCTCCATCGCTACGGTCCTGGCTTCAACACTGTGATCGTGTTATTTTGTGGCAGTGGGTTGTGAGATGGGTGTTGGCTGGATACAACCGAGTGCCTTTCTCCGTGTCGGCGTAAGAACGGAGAAATGTCTGGTAAGTATGATTGTAAACGGTCAAAAAATAGGCCCCATGTTGTCACAGTCCATGCATCTGATAGTACGGACGAAGACGGGCCTTTTTCGACCGAGGATAGGTTTTCAGAAAATTATCAAATGTAATTCAGGTTACGGTCATATGAGTTGTTTTGTTGTAAATTGCTCCTCCAACCCGTGAAAGTGATATAAAGGGATTAAATTGTTCAAGAAGGCCTACGCTAGTTTCAAAGGTACCTTTGATACAAGAATCAAATGACGGCCTAGGCGCGATGATGACGGGAAAACATTAAGATGAAGAGAACACAAGAACAATTATCCAAAAATATTTGGAGGTAAGCGTATAATGAAATATATCAAAATTGGTCTCAAACAGAAAGACCATGGGACAACTTGAACGAAACCAGCCAACGGACTTCTCACACGTAGGGCCTAAATGTGAAAATTAACAGTAAACGGAAAACTGTCGGCCCTTTCAAAACGAAACTGGACAGAAACGACGCAGCCTGTTCTGGTTTTAGAGCAGCCAAAGGTCACGCCTTAATTGATGAAAGCAACCAACGGGAAGGTATACCACATACGGTTACTCCAAGGCTTTACAGATGAACAATCGTACGGGATGGACAACGAAACTCTTCCGCATCGCATATGCGAGAAAATAAACAAACCATTCGAAATATTAATCAAAAGGCAGTTTCGGCTTACGGTGGACACGCAACGAACGCGCTCACTAGCCAAGACTGGTTAATATAAAGGGAAAATCACGCAATTAGCCTTTATAGTGGTGTTCAGCATGCCGTTGATGCGATTAAAAGCCCAAATCAAACATAGGGGTTCAAGCATCTCAATATGTCATTTGAAGACAAATAATAGAATAAGTTCAAGATCATGTCAAAAAATTAAGTATAAAGGGATGTATACGACTCCCTTACCTTCGACTATCTCCATCGTCAGCAGACAATGAATCCTACAGCATTTCGAATGCACCGCCAATACTCAAGGCTTCCCAAACCGCGCGCCCCTGGCTAAAATGCGAAGACCGAAATACATGTCACCTAACGGATACCTCAGTCGCCTCAATAAAGTATGTTTCCTGCCAATACTTAATACTTACCAGTAAAATTTTTATATGGGACGCCAACTTGTGCCGATTTTTTGTCTCTGATGATTGACAGGGTCCAGAAAATCCGAAAGCGCACATGAAATTATTTCCTTTGGTTTCGAAGCAGTCTTCCGCATGCTTCTCCGAAATAGCATTCAAGAACCTGTGTCGGTGTGTTAGCACACAGTTTCCAGGGGTGTGTGTGTCAAGGTATACTTGCGCACTCTGCATTAGGACCAACGACGTGGTACATATCCTGCACAGTTTTTATTTAAGACGGATATAAGCCTTCTGAAGTGGTGCACGCCACAGTAGAGGGTCGACAGTCGATATTAACTTGCCCATAACTTCCCTATAGTTCTGTGTCACGTTGACAAAAGAAGCTAAATTTGCCAGATTTTTCGCAAACAAAAAATAGCGGGCAAGGCTCTTACGTACGGGCGAATGAGCAACAAAGCGTGAACCCGAATAATAAGTCGAAAAGGATAAGAGAACGGATTTTAAATATCTCAGTTGTCTGTGTGCAATAGGCACCGTGAGATTCGTTTATTTCTACGCCTATCACGTATACCAAAAATATTACTCGATAATTTCTATTAAAATAAATACTATCTGGGATAATTTAACTAGAAACGCTATGGTTGAGCAGAATTAACGTTTTTTTAAAAAGAACATTGCTCGCTTTTTAAATTCATATCAGCGTTCATAGCATCCTAACTCTTAGGCGGCTGAGGTCATCACTCACAATTGTGGCATCCTGCCCTTCCTCGTTCCTTGGGGGAATGCAGTTGTCTCTAGCAACCCTTGCCTCGCCGATTAATCATCAGTCGGCGTCAAATTAATACATACCTCTCGACTTTTCTTCTTTATTTACAGTCGTCGTTTCATGAAAATGAATGGGGACAAAAGCGTATGTTGACCCATGTGTTCTTGCTCTAAGTCAAGTTTGTTGTCAACTTCTCTTTCGAGCGTGAAGGTGATTCCCGGTAGTGTTCAGTTGATAGCGTTATGCAGCATTTTTAACGGATTCATCTTGACGATAACGAAGGTGCCATCTAAGCAGCGTACCCACAATTAAGGATCGATAACCGGTAAGGCCATAGCCTAAACTTTATAAGAAACTCTATTTATGTTGAGTGTATATGATTGCATCTGTATTTTTTATTTTACACGAAGAGGGTCATTCAGGGCTTCTCCTGTAACCCTCAGAAGCTTACATACACACAAATATACAGTAAGAAAGTAATAAATTTTCTCACATAGCACTCATGAGGGTACGACATTTAAAAGTAGAAGTAAGTTTACAAAGAGATACACGTGCAAGTCTGCTAATGAATAGGCCAACCTTCATAGTGTTCAATTTGTGTTTGTAGTGCTCACCCAGACAAGGAATGCGCTGAACAGCAGTAGAAGAAGTTCCCTCAGAAAATGATTGAAAAGAGATAAAATGAATGGTAGCTGTTAGTTCTTGTGGAGAAAAAATGTCAGCCAGTAAAGAGTGCATATGGGTGTGAGGAGTTATTAGTTAAGGGAGAATTCTTGAACAGGACGAAGCTATTCGCCACCGATGCGATCATATTGTCACTCAGTCAGTGTATTTGAGGAAAATAGGCTTACGCCTTTGGACTCCCTATTTTTTCATAAACATCTAAAAAATTACCTACAACATTGAGAAATTTAGGCAAGAAGTAAATGCAAACATCGATTTACATAGGGTATTAGTTTTTTCCAGTTAAAAAGTCACATAGTCAACTTGCTGGTGCAAGAGATGTCTGTCCAGACGATAGTTAAATGTCTCCACAGACGGAGACTTTACGATCCCATCAGACAGGTTATTACACGGTTCCACGACACAGTTAGAGAAAGGATAATTTCACGAATGAAGGCGAAATTGCGAGTTCCAGGTGTATGCATATTTGAAGAAGAAGAAGAAGAAGAAGAAGAAGAGTCGAGCACCGGAACACTTCGTTTATTATCATGAGCTTTCAGACTCGTACAGGAGTCCATCGTCAGAGGTAGTGGCAGAAACAGGACAAGCGGCAGTTATAAGGCACGTAGGCCCAATCATCGACCGACGTCGCCCGAATGGAAGTGACTACGAAGGGCTCTGTACGCCGGCGCCAGATCGATAAATCGGTTGACCGAGTTCTCATCGGAGGACCAGGCTTCAATCAATTCTCGGCCTGTTTTGTTTCCGGCGTGGGCGACTATTTTGGTGTCTCCGAATTCAAACTCGTGACCCATTTCGTAGGTGTGGGCGGCCACTTGTGATAATGCGTCGCCTCGCCGCACAGCCAGCTTATGTTCGTGTATGCGCGATCCGAGCAAGCGTCCAGTCTGTCCTGTGTAGTTACAAGGACAATTTTGACACGGGATGCGATACACTCTTCAGGTTTTAACCGGTCTTTGATTTTCTTGACCCTGTTGAGCATGGTGGCTTTGGGGCGGCGTGCAATTCCAACCCCTACCTCCGCAGCAATACGCTCGGTCGCTTCTGAAACACCGTTGATGTATGACAGAGGATGCCATATCGTCGGTGGTGTTGATGTTCGACTTCTCTGGTGGCGACCGCGCAGGCAGCGACTTATGAATGCCCTCGGATAGCCATTTTGCACAAACTGGTCGCGGAGAAAACGGGTCTCATGTGCACTGTCCTCCGGTTTGCTGCAATGAGTGTGGATCCGTTTGAAGAGCGTCTTCACGCAGCTTCGTTTGTGAGCCACCGGATGGTTGCTGTGAAAACTGAGAAGCTGTGTGGTGTTCGTTGCTTCCTATGAACCGTCGTTTCAAGTTCACCGTTAAGGTTTCGTCTGACGTGCACATCCAGGAAGGGCAACTGCTGTTCCTGTTCTTCTTCCCTCGTGAATTTTATATCGAGGAAGACTGCGTTGAGCAGGCGGTGGAAGTGTGGCAGCATGTACTTCTTTACGATGACGAACGTGTCGTCAACGTAACGTCGCCAAAACACCGGTTCATGTTGGAGGAAGGCAATATTTTCTAACTCCTGTAGGACCAGTTCTGCCACCAAACCGGAGACCGGTGAGTCCATTGGGGTTCCCTTGATTTGTTCATAGGTCTCTCCCGTAGTCACCTCCAGTCGTGCGACGTCGGTCGATGATTGGGTCTACGTGCCTTATAACTGCCGCTTGTCCTGTTTCTGCCACTACCTCGGACGATGGACTCCTGTACGAGTCTGAATGCTCAGCTGAGATTTGGAAAAATCTTAAGCGTCTCACTGGCCATCGCAACATGCTGGTGCGTGTGGATGCAGATTTAGACTCCCTAAAAAATTTTATATTTAGTCACAATGACTCCCATCTTCCCTTAGAAGACATTCCCCTATCACCGAGTACATTACAACCCGTGTCTTTGGCAACAGTAGAGAAACACCTTAAAAAGGTCCGTGGATCAACAGCTGCCGGACCGGATGGTGTCTCGCCTTTTCTTCTTAAATCTTGCAGTTCTCAGATAGCCCCTATTTTAACGCACCTAATCAATATGTCTTTCATGGAGTCCAAGATTCCCGACGCCTGGCGTACAGTGAGAATCACTCCCATCCCTAAAAAGCGTGCTAACTTTGGTCCTAAATCTTTTCGCCCAATTGCCTGCTCCTCTGCAATACTAAAGCTTGCTGAAAGAGTTGCCCTAGATATCATAAAGCCTTTTTCTTCCAGTTTTTCCGACCCCTTACAATTCGCATACAAAGCTAAACGGAGTGCTTTATATGCTGTCGCTCTTGTGGTCCACTCTGCTCCAAAAGCATTAGACAAGGGTTGCCGCGAGTATGCGTGCGCTTTTCTTGATTACTCCTCCGCCTTCAATACCGTCCCGCGCCCTCTTCTACTTTCCAAAACCTCCGCATGTGGCTCTCCAGGCTGGGTCGTCTCTTGGCTGGGCGATTATTTTACCTTCCACACCCAATTTGTCCAATCTGGCAAGCGGAAGTCTTCGACCCTTCCCAACGACTGCGGTGTTCTTCAAGGTTCCATTCTATCCCCTCACCTTTTCTCCCTCCACACTGATGATCTCAGGTCCCCTAATGACTGTCTTCTGGTCAAGTATGCTGACGATGTGGTTGTTGGACACCCTCTCAAAAGTCAGACACACCTCAGGTCTCTAAAGGATGGCCTAAACCATGTCCTAGCGTGGTCGGAGGAAAATGGTCTCCTAATTAACAACCGAAAATCCGTTCAGTGTATTTTTCGACTGCGGCCCTCTCCTAACCCTGATTCCTCTGACATTCTTCCTAATGAGGTATCCTCTTTCAGGTATCTCGGCGTTACTTTGTCCTCAAATCTTTCTTTTTCCCTCCATATTGAGTCCCTATTTTTTAAAGTTCGTAAACTTCTTTACTACATTCGTCGTTTGCGTTCCTACCACACACCTCAACCCTTAGTCTGGCGATTCATTGATGCCTGCATTCATCCTCTTATCCTACACTGTTCTCCTGTCGTTTTTCCTGCTTTGTTAAAAAAGGATCTTTTAATTTTGAAACGAATCCTCCGCATGCTCTCTTCTGCTGCTGGCGTTTCTTATATTTTTTTAGTTGACGCAATTTTACAACGACACTTCAATGCGGTCAAGCAGTTTGCTGGTCGAATTCTAGATGACGTTGCCCATCCCCTACATTCCGATCTTATGTCTGCCAAGTCTTCCCGCCCGATGCGCCGCAACTTCCGTCTTATACCTTGCCGCATATCGGCTTATCGAGCCTCTGTATTGCCATTCCTAGCGCGCTGTCTTACGTGCGAAGATATAGAAATACAGAAGCTCAGACTTGAACTATCCTCATAATAATCGTTTCTTTGACTGTTGAATACTCTCTTAACTTATTTACTGCCCACAGTGAATGGAGCCAATTTTTTGCTGAAAATTTTGAACTTACGATTTCAAAATAAAGCGCATTCCTCTCTCTCTCTCGGATAATAAACGAAGTGTTCCGGTGCTCGACTCTTCTTCTTCTTCAAAAGATAATTTCTCACATCCAATCTCCCTTCGGAAACACGTAGTTTGAAGGGATATCCCCGGAGGTTATTTGACATGGCAAGTTGAAAAAATCGTCACACCGAGTGGGAACTGTGTAGGCCACACACGATACGGAAAGTTTGTATCAAATGGTCCAACAACTGCCTACATGTCAGAGGATAGAGCTTAGGGTTATTCCAGCGGGTCTCATAAGGCAGTGTATTACGAACTCCTTCTAGTTTTGTGGGTAGCCTCTGCACTGTTTCGAGTGGATTGCAATCTTGCTGCGTCCAGAGTCTTCAGGTCTGGACTGCATATTCCGGCTGTGGCCGCACAAACGTGCAAAAGACTTTGGAGAAGCATTCTTCACCGAAAACTGCGAATCCCCGCCTGATAATGTGCCGCACTGAAATTGCGACTTTAGCTGCCTTATGGCATTGCTTAGAAGGCTTTAAAGTGTCCTCAATCCGAACTCCGATGTACTTGTGGGTTTCTGCTTTTCTGTGGCATTCCGTTTTAATAATATTGCCGCGTCATATGGATCCGATTTTGGTTTCTTGGAGCAGCATGATGCATTTATTCAAACTGAAAGACAGGAACCATCTGCGGCACCACTCGTCCAGTCGACGAAGCTTTTCTTGAAAGATGGTCTCGTCGACTGCATTAGCGATGGCTTTCTACATTCTAATATTATCTGCGATGACTGCAGAAAATACGTCAGGGTGGCGAGACAGGAGGAGCCCACAGCGATCCTCACGGTCCTGCTAATGTCTGTGCGGGGAGAGACTATTAAAAGGTAACGAGAATCACCGAAGCGCAGATAGATGTGAACAGAGCACTTCTTTGCAGATCGAATAAACAGCCAGGAAGGTGGTGAGGCAAAGGAAACCGCCTGACTATTAACAGATCGCTTAGCGCCGAAATGGTGTGGTTACGTAAGGAGCTACGAAGATCTTCGCCGAGGGGGACAGTGTCAAACAAAATCAAATACAGCATCTCAAGATTCTGGACTGGGTTCTATATACGGCCTCTACTACTCCTTCTTCTTTGAGCCACTTTAATGTGTGGGACGATAAATTCGCTTACCCTGTATGTTATGAAGACATTCAGAGTATAATTTTACCACAGGTTGAGACTCTTGGAGAAGGACACTCAATTTTTAATAACTCCTGGTAAAAATACTAAGTGACCATAAACTCTTTCTTGTGGTCGGTGGCTACTTATATCAAGCCATGTAAAACACCAATGGGCTAAAACATGTACAGCACAATCTGTCAGCTTGTTTGGACCGACAACATTTGAGTCGGCGGCCACATGAAAGAATTGCCACTCCGGATTATGCCAGGCAGCTTACGAATAGAAAGGCAATACAGGAAAGGACTAAGCCCACTGACCAAAATAAACGCGCTCCACGCACATACTTGACTTTAGATAACACATGAAGTCATAACTAAATTCGAGGGCCGATGCAAGGTCTGAGAGCAGAATAAACATAGAAGAGTTCGAAGGATGCACACAAAATGATTAGGAGGCAAAGCGCCCTGCCTTATACAACTCGCCTAACGAATCTGAACGTTGCCAACGGAAGCGAAGAGACAGGTCCCAGGAAGTAGTCTTGAAGCAGGAGACATTTCGGGTTCCTGCTCGAACCCGAAACGTCAGGTTAATAAAGCTCTTGTCCCAGCGTTCGTGTCTCCTTCTTCAAGAATCTGAGCGTCTTTACTTTTAGTTATAGCCAAATACAGGGAAATCTCTTTTAATCATTCCCACTAGGAAGTGACTGGATTGCAGCCTGGACTATAAGTTCGCCTATTGAAACGACAGCTTCATCTCGCAATGTTGGATGTGCGCAAGTTCGTCCTCTCTATCTCTCTCAGAGCGATTAAACCATAAAATGTCCTCCCTGGTAACGTTGTGACCTTTGTGTTGCTGTCGCATCGCCCTGTTGGCAACCCGTTCTACAACTGCCCACGCCTATGTCTCTTAATAAACTAAACTCAGCTTGAATGAAATTCGGTAATGTTTCGCTTATTTCCCAAAAAAAGATGGTCCACAATAGCGAACATTTTAGTGAAGTCGAAGCAAACTCTGTAGAGTAAGAAATTTTCTTCCGGAGATGTGAATATATGCTCGAGGAGAGAGAGTGTGTGCTGGCAGGCATCGGAGTATTGGGCTTTTAGGAATATCAGCCGATATGTGCTTAGTGTATTATCGTTTGTCTCATGACGATAATCGTACTTTTTCCCAGTTTCAGTAATAATATCCATATTTGCTTGGAAAGCGCTTATCGGCCGAAAATCACAAAATAGTTAAAAACCATTGTCTTTCGAGGTAAGTGGAATATAGATAAACAGAATAATTTTATTAAAGACCCATTGGGGTCACTTAATAGCAGGTAAAAATAAATTTTCACATGAATTTTAGACAAGGTAGCCTGAATCTCCACAATATGCAATACATATCTATCGAATAAGTAATCCGTTAAGAAAAACGATGAGCCAGCAGTGGAAAAAAACTTGTTTCTAGAATAAACAATATGACTGGACAAGCTTTAAAGGAGGAAGCCTATCGCTCCTGAAAGGACGAAAATGCGGGCAGGGCCGGCCTGCATATAACAGTGTACAATGGATTATAAACGGATATCGTCATGGGAGTCATTCCAGGAACTTTGAATGTGATGCTTCGGAGGTTTAAATTAAAGATTTTGCATTAGAGAGGACACACTTGTCGTTTACGCCCGTCTTTACAGTCGTACTCGAGAAACCATCCGTGACCTTACTACGGTCACTGGCGTTTATTAAACCAAATAAAGGGCGGAGATATTTGAGAATGAAAAGGACAAACATGTGATAAAGTGTTTATATTGTTTTAGGAAGGAAAAATTATGAGATATGAAATTAGATAGAACAGAATGGGTTAAATATAAGAACTCTTGAACTCCTTTGGTCCCTCTAGAACACAGGGCAGAGCTCATAATAAACCCATATATTCCGGGTTGCATGTTGGTTTCATTTGTTTTGATCTTCCGTTTATTCAGTGATGCACGAAATGGCAGTCTGTTTTGAGTAAAAAACTGTCTTCAAA